CCCGCCTGCCCCAATTCTTCCCACTCTCCCTCCAACTTCCTGTTCTGGACTTTCTGTTCCAGGATCAGCCACCTTCCTTCCTGTCCCAGAGAGCTTTTTTCTACTTTCTCGGCAGCACTCAGTTGTCAGAAGAAGGGATTATATGAAGCAAAGTTCAAAGGTTGTGGCTGTAGTGTAGTCCCCACATGAGATGATGGAGGCTTGGAACAAGGTGGTGGCAGGAGAGAGAGAATTGGAGAGTTTCTTGAAACATGTATGTCAACACCTGAGGGCTGGATTGGAGAGTGAACACTATGAAAGCACACAGCCCCCCCCACCCCCCCAGTTTCTGGACACTGGGCCATTCCCTAAGAGGCAGGCAGAGCAGGAGAGGGGTCAAGGGGTTGTGTGTGTGTAGGTGAGAAGCAAGGAAGGTGTGGATGGCAACAGGAAAGAGAAGTTAACTGCCTCCTAATTCCAATGCCACCAATCCTTCCAACAAAATATTGGCCTTGACATTTTGACAGTGAACCCCACTGAGAAATTCATTTTGCAGAGCCTCTCACGCATGGCGCGTAGAGAAGTTCGCCAATGCTTCCCTACTTCTTCTGCAACTTATGAATAACTGCGATCTTAGTCCTTTAAAAAACAACAATGGACAACAGCTCTCTGTGTGAGCTGTGAGGCAGTGACGTGGACCAGGGCCCCCACCCCCCCACCGCAGCGGCACCTGGCGGTGCCCTTTGTGACGCAGGCGCAGTGACACAGCCCGGTGCCTTGGAGACGCCCAAACAAACCTGCTTCAGAGTCAGCGTGAAGCCCTACTGGAAGCTGCTGCCGCCCGCCTTTCCGCAGGATCGCCCTCCAGCTCGCCCACCATGTCGACGTCCAGCGGTTCTCAGCGGCCCATCAAGGGGATCCTGAAAAACAAAGGCTCCACGGCAGCGTCCGCAGCGTCGGCGGCGTCCGCTTCGTCCGTCGTGACCCCCGGCCAGCAGACCCGCGGACTCCAGGCCAGAAAGTCGAAGAAATGGGACGAGTCCAACATCCGTGCCACCTGCCGAGGCGCCTACAGAGACTATGATTTAAAGAACATCAACGAGCCCAGCGCCCCCCACGTCCGGATCCAGGACAGCGGAGAAGACGCGGCGTGGGACTTCGACACCAAGGACCAGGCCAGAGGCACCGGGGGCCACATCCTGGGGAAGCCGGAGAGTAGCCAACTCCTCCTGGACAAGATCGAAAGACAGCGGCAGTTCGAGCTGCGACGGAAGCTGCATTATACCGAAGGACTGCACATCAAGTTAGGGAGAGAACTGATTGCCAAAGAACTGCAGCTCTTAGAACTCGACGATGACGACGACGAAAACCCGCCTGCGACCACCGAAGAGAAGACTGCTGCAGGAGAAGGGGAGGACGACGGCCCTGCCGGCGACGACCTGCCGACTCCAGCCAGCTACCTGTAAGAAGCCGCCGACCGCGCTTGCAACGGTGTTCGCACCCTCTTAGGACTATACAGTGAGTGCGTCTAGTGACTTAGAACTGTGCTTCCAGTATGAAATGCTAGCAGTTACCTTGGACTGTAATCATTAAATGGCAAGTGTAGAAAATAACCAATAAAGTGCAAATTGCCTGCTTGATGTTCTTGTGTCTGTGATTTTTTTCCCGCCAAAACCACATCTACACATGCAATTAAGGGTCCCTTCCGATAACCACAAGTCACGCCCACCAGCCAATCAGGAGTCAGTATGCAAATTAGTACGACCAAGATGGCGGGAGCCAGGGAGCTAGCCAGAGCAGGCAGGAGGCTTGGGTAGACCAGGCAACAAAGGGAGCCAAGCTTCCCTCTGCCTGGGCCGGCCTAGAAGGAGGGGCCTGTGGGCCGCAGCCATGGAGCAGGCCAGTGTGCGGCAACGCAAGCTTCCCTTCCACCCTGGCTGGGGGCCGAAGGAGAGGCCTGTGGACAGGGGAGGCTTGGGTCACCAGGGCCGGCTGCTGAGAGAGGGACCTGCAAATGGCCCTCAGCACTCACCCAGGCTGGCCACGCCACCATTGGGGTGAGGATCCCTGCTGGGGTACATGGCTATCCTCAACACCACCCTCAGCCCCTCACCCAGGCTGGCCAGGCCCCCCAGCGGGGACCCCACCCTAAAGTGGTTGTGGCCAGCCTGACAATGGCCCTCAGCCCCTCACCCATGCTGGCCATGCCCCCATGGGGTGAGGATGCCCACTGGGGGTTGTGGACAGCCTACAGACAGACAGCTATCAGTCCCTCACCCAGGCTGGCCAGGCCCCCCAACAGGGACCCACACCCTAAAGTGGGTGTGGCCACCTGAAAATGGCTCTCAGCCCCTTACCGAGGCTGGCCACACCCCAAGGGGTAAGGGTCCCCACTGGGGGGCGTGGCCAGCCTACAAACAGCCCTCAGCCTCTTACCCAGGCTGGCCACACCCCCATGGGGTGAGGGTCCTGCTGGGGGGCGTGGCCAGCTTACAAACAGGCCTCAGCCCCTAAACCAGGCTGGCCTGGCAACCCAGCGGGAACCCCCACCCTGAAGGGCGTGTGACCAGCCTAAAAATGGCTCTCAGCCCTTTACCCAGGCTTGCCACACCCACATGGTCCCCACTATGGGGTGTGGCCAGCCTACAAACAGCCCTTGGCCCCTAACCCAGGCTAGCCTGGCAAGCCAGCGGGAACCTCCACCCTGAAGGGCGTGTGAACAGCCTGAAAATGGCCCTCAGCCCCTCACCCAGGCTGCTCAGGCACCCCAGCAGGGACCCCAACCCTAAAGGGGGTGAGGCCAGCCTGAAAGTGGCCCTCAGCTTCTCATCAATGCTGGCCAGGCCCCCATGGGGTGAGGGTCCCTGGTGGGGGTGTGGCCAGCCTGAAAACAGCCATCAGCCCCTCACCCAGGCTGGCCAGGCACCACAGTGGGAATCCCCACCCTGAAGGTGGTGTGGCTAGCCTGAAAATGGCCCTCAGACCCTCACCCTGGCTGGCCAGGCCCCCCCAGTGGGGACCCTCACCCCATGGGGGCATGACTGGACTGCAAACTGTCCCAGCCCCTCTCCCATGCTGGCACCATCCCCAGTGGGGACCCCCACCCCAATGGGGGCATTTCCGGCCTGAAAATCACCACAGGCCCCTTACCCAGGCCACCGTGTGGAAAAAGACATGGTGGCGGGGCTGAGGTAGAGGCAGTTCGGGGCCATGAAGGGAGGGCAGTTGTGGGTGATCAGGACAGGATGGGTCCGCAGTTGTCGGTGATCAGGCCAGTGAGGGGGGGCCGTTGTGGGTGATCAGGCCAGCAGGGGGTGGCAGTTGGAGATGTGCTGGAAGCCGGTGCATTCTTGCTGCTTGACACAGTTGCTGCAGGGAAGAAACATCTGCACAGCATATGTTCCAAGGGACCTGGCGTATATGGCATACTGTTCTTAATATGTTTGT